ACACCACAGCTCCCTTGGGAGAGTGACGGGTCACTCTCATGTAACCCCGTTACATTAAACGGCAGAAGTCGCGTGCATCGCCTAACCAGGCGTTTCGGTTGTGTATAAAGCTCTTTCCAATCCGTGACAACTAGTGGCTATATCCACGTGTCAGAAGGTTTGATCCTCACAATGGCTTGGACCATTAACCGGAGGATGTAACGTTTCCATCTTTCTTGACGAAGATCGAATAGATGCCGCTCGCGCTGTAAATTTCACAAACGCTATCTCTTTTTAGAAAGCGGTAGGTGTTACATGGAATGCAAATTGCAACTTTCGTACCATGAGGGTCAGACAGTGTATTATGAATGAGAGCTTATGAGCGTTTAAGACGCGACGGACCTTATCCATACCAGGAAAAAGAAGAGAAATTTCGGTTGCTAAGCAGCTTTGCGCTTACCTCTGATTGGGTGCCTAGATAATACGGCGTGCCTGTTTCCTTCTCTTCTCTCTTTGCTGGAAGGAACGAAGAAATCACGCAAGATCGCTCGTCCACCTTTTCGCGGGGGAAACAAATCGGGTCCCAGAGAGCCTCGTGCGCCTATTGGAACGAGCCTAGATTAATCTGAGGTCGCCAGTGAAGAGGTAATGCTTACTTGGTGATTCTTTAAAAAGCCAGGCTTTGAGAAGCCTTGGAAAGCACTTAAATGCTCAGAAACGACATGAAATTCTGTATGATGCGCGGCTGTCAAAATCAAAGACAGTTCTCTGAGGAAGGAGCCGAATACGAACTCAATATCCGTGCGTATTGCGACAAAAACATCTATAAAAGGTCGCCCTCAAGAAGGGTTTGAATACTTCGGTAGTTCTAGATCTAAATTTGGGTTTCATTCTCAACATAGGTATAGCACGACAGAAACTTCACGATTCAAGGATCAAGTGGAAGTATAAAATGTGCAATTCTCTCCCGATGGAGCTTTTGTGACTCATGAATCATCGTTGCCAGAAAACAGGTGCATTTTTGACACAGGCACGAAGCTGCGCTAGCTTCCGTACAGGACATATATTCTTCAAGATTGGCAATAGTATTGTTAAGTGCTTTGATAAGTTGTATGCTGCAATTAGTAACGGAGTAACGGTCGTAGGATGAGGGGAAAAAGTCGATTGAAGATTGCGGTCACCAGATGATTTTTATTGAGATGTTAATTGACGCCTGTTTGTCGCATTTTTAATTTCTGGCGAAAGGTATAGAAGAACTGTGCGCAGTCGTTTCGTGTTCAAAGCCAGTGGAGAGTAGAAGCCACTGATCATCGCAGTCGCTTATGCCGGAGTATGTAAAATGGAGACTGTAAGTTGTGAGCAGAAGCGCCATACCCTGAAATTAGAATGGATGACTCTTCTTGGTCACGATATAGCGGTACTGATTAGTCAGTACTACCGTATCACGTACCCCAACCCCCTTGCGGAGTACAGAAGCCTCTCGGATCCGATGCAAAAAAAATCAGCACTCGTGGATGAGTGACCAGTGAGGTCCTAATCTCCTCTAACTTCCTCGAGCAGGAACGTTAACAGAGTTGGTGGAATCATCTCGCGGTGGTATGTGCAGAAATCGCAAGACAATAAATCTATCGAAGTGTTTAGTTGACACCGAAAAATAGCTGATCTTGTCATCTTGAATAGATGAACATGTCTTTGAATATGCTAGTGTGATGTTTTGGTCTCGACCAGATCTATTTGGGAGTTGGTTCATTGGGAAGCAGGGTGAGCTTCCCAATGAAGCAGGGTGAGTGAAAAAATATCGCAAAGGTGAGGCTATTGTTGAATGTCAATGCCTCTGTCTCAAACTTACTTGAGCAAGTGGGTTGGCATGGCCTAGTATTCGCACAAATAAAGTCGTAACTATTCTGAGCAGGTACGATAAAAAATGTCAAATGTAGCAAAGGTGTGGCAGAAAAATCAACCTTCAAAAGCATGTATCATGTGCTCCGATCTGGATTGTTTGAATTCTGCTCGGTTCTGTAATGCTTCAAGCTTGCATTTGGCTGCACCTTACACCAAGCAGATTTTGGTGACATGAACGCGTGATCACATTTGAGACTTGCCAGCTTAACATCAAAGGAAACCTACTTTTTTCATAACAAGAAGCTGCATACAAATCAGTCTGCCATTGTTCACGGCTCACCTTCTCGACTCTATGCCGTTTTAATCGATACAAAGCATGTGTCGTTGCTTACAGCGACATCGTCACCATATCTCTCTCGAAGAATGGCAAAGTGGTTATATTCCTTGGCCGAGAATGCCACTGACGTATAGCGATGCCGGGTGAGGAGAAATTTGCTTCTATTTATTGCTATGCCTTGATGGCTAAACATGTAGAAGTGTATAAGATGATATGCGCAAACGTCGGAAATGGATTATCGGAATAAACGTTCGCTGTATTCGGCAGCACTTTTGACCAGCATGCCGGTCACGGCAAAGCGCTGAGAGTCCATTAATATTAGCTTTATTTTCGGTCCGCCGAACACAAAATAGAGAATATCAGTTTATTCGTGGGCCATCTGAGCAAAATGGTCTATCTCGCTGCTGTCAGAATTTCCGTAATTAGTGAGTTCTTAGACAAGCTGTTGCTGGTGGCTATGATATTTATCAAAAATCCGCGCTTTACAGCAGAGTTATTTACGTCATACGTAATAAGCTGAACACCATTAAAGGCTAAATCAGTATTTGGTGTATAATGCATCGCCAATATATTACCTGTTGATATTTGTATTATATCATTCGTTGGCAATGAAGTTTCAAAATCCCCGAGGCGAAGACGAGATTGATCTACTTTAATTTGATGTCAAGTTTGATATCATCCTAGACATGCTGTGTAAAAGCGTTATCAAACTAGCGCTATATGAGGATCTCTGTTTTTAAGTCGTGCTCCAATTAGTCTTGTTTCATCAATCTTCTAGGATTTGTCCTGAGAGCATGGGGGCCTTCGCACACCACAATGTCACTTAGGACATCTGTGACCTCTTCAACAGATGCCTACGCCCATACCATTTATTTTATCATCATGCACGTCAAATTTACGCTGCTCACAGAGGATATAATACATCAAATTCTCACCGTGAGGAACCATAGTATCTGTCGAGTTGGTGCTATAATATAGCAATCCATTATGCTGTGAATATCGATGCATCCGAGCGCGCAGTCTTGGTCGAGTATCAAACTTCTTGCTCCCGAGAGCCCGTAAAAACGCGTATGCGGCACGGATCAAATTCGTCACTGACGTCGTCACCGTCGTGACATGACCAAGCTCATAATCCGGTCTGCGTGACAACACATCAGCCTAGCAATCTACTTTTCTGGCTTATACTTCACCTCAAAGTTATATATTCTGCGAAAAATAAAAGCCACCCGGCCATCCTTTGCGAGAGGTGAGGCGACTGAGTCGCAGTGCGTAGTGACGCATGATCTATGAAGATCACAAACGACGTAGAGCCGAACAGGTGCACCCTGAACTTGACAAATGCATACTTCATCGCAAGTAATTTCTTGTCGTGAACTGGGTAGTTCTTCTCTGCAGCCGTGAGCTGATGAGATTCGAACGCTATCACCCGATCACGCCCCTAGGCGTCTGCTTGCAGCAGTACACAACTAATGGCAAAGTCCAAAGCTCCCAAACGACACTAAAATGAACGATCGGGGTCTTACAACGCAGTATTGGTGCATGAAGGATGATTTTTATCTCGTCAAGATCCTCTCGAAGCTCGGTGCCCCAACACCATTCCTCGTCCTCCTTAAGGAGATCGACAATGGCGTGCCATTTCTGCATAATTTTTGCTGTACTTGTGCAAGCATCTGGTGAGGTCAAGCCACTTGCGCAAGTCCTTTTGGTTCTTTGGAACCGGCCAGTCCACAGTGGCCTTGACCTTAACGGGATCCGCTTGAAAGCCACGCTCTCTGATGAAGCACCCTAAAAAGGGGAATTATATCGGCGCCAAAGATTCATTTGTCTGAACTAGCATACAGCTTATTCGTGCGCATGCATTCAAATACCGCTGTTAAATGGACGATGTGGTTCTCTTCAGCCGCCCTCTCGTACTCCACCCAAATGTGGACGAAGATTTCGGCAAAATATGTCTGTGCATATGCCCGGTGGGGCCTGAATAATGCGTCACAAGACGATCGAATATTGCTGGTGCATTTGATAGCTCTTAAAGTATCACCAGCCGCTCCTAGAGCATGCCGCTCGGAGTACTCGCCACTGTCAGCGGAATTTCACTCGCTCTTACCTATCGACCAAGTCGAGTGCGCTGAAATTTGTACATTCTAACATGTGGTTCTGGAGAACATCCTCTTGAGGAATTGGCGTCCGTGCCGGAATGGTGGCAGCGCTGGGTTTATTGTAAGCGTGAGCGATACGTTGCTTGTCATTTGGCCTCCAAACACAAAGCGTGGGTGTCGAATGAGGAGACTTGCTCATATGACCATTCCTGCGTCGTGCTTCGCACGCAAAAAGGCGTCACTGCTCTTTAGGCAGGTGTCATTTGCGTATTACGCAGTATGTGATTCTCGAAACCAGGTCAATCTCATGACGCACACCTCAGTCTGGAGGTGAGACCGACGGTCGGTCTTTGGAGCGATGTCTTCAAACCCCATTACGAAAGAATGATACGGATCCGAGAAATCCTTCAGGACCGATGATCCACTTCGTGCATTCTGCACCCTCTTAGTGTCCTCCAAGACAGCTTCATCCAGAAGCGACGGCGAATAATCAACCCGTTCGGTCTTATAATAACCACCTTGCCTGCATTCAAGGCACCACCGAACTCTTCGAAGGACATCTCCTCCAGCTCAAGCAGAGCATCCACCGCAAAAATCGCCTCGAGGATGACGTCGCCGTCTTCCTCTCCCGTCATACCGTTGACAAGGGTATATAGCTGTGCGCTATAGACACACTCTGAGTCAGAAACGACGTCCTGTGTCTTGCAGATAACATACGGCTTCGCCGTCTCCTC